GCAAATGGTTCGAGAGACCCTATCTCAAAAATACCCATCACAAAAAAAAAAGGGCTGGCAGAGTGGCTCAAGGTGAAGGCCCTGAGTTCAAACTCCAGTACTAAAAAAAAAAAAAAAAGTTTGTGTAGTTTCATTCAACAAATCTTTATTGTTTGTCACATATAAGCCTGTGTTCCAAAACTGCAAAGTATAAAAATAAACAAGGAATGATCCGGTCCTTCAAGCATCTTGCAGTCTAATGAGGAGACAGGCATATGTGCTATCATATAAGACAGAACACCGTAAATCATAGTAAATCATAAAATGAAACCGCAAAATGCTGGCAGGACTGGCAGAGTGGCTCAAGAGATAGAGCACCTGCCGAACAAGAACAAATCCCAGTACCACCACCAAAAAAAAAAAGTCAGTGTAGAAAGCATAAGAATTTTGAAACAGCGAATGAATTCAGATATGTTTTCTGCTGAGTCACTGTGGTAAAAATCCCTTATATTTTACCAAGTCCTAGCTCTGGCACCTTGGTGTTATATCATAAGGATTGTGTAAAGCACAGAATGGACATGAAAGTGCTCTGAAAACTGTAAACAGCTAGTAAATTCTATGCATTGCTAGTCAATTCCCTCCATGGAATCCAGAAGCCCTGCTTTAAGGAAGTAGCACATGAGCTAGAGCTTGAAAGGAAGGCAACAGGGGACATGGAAGGTATTCGAGAAATGAAGCATAAGTAGAGATGTGGCTAAAGTGGTAGAGTGCTTGCTCTGAACTCAAAGACCAGTACTACCTTCTATCCCCCCCAAAAAAAGTAGAAAGGAAGTATCAATAGTGGTTATAAACAGGAACCCTGGACTGGAGGTGTGGCTCAAGTGGTAGAGCACCTAAACCCCAGTCTCACCATAAATGAATGAATAAATAAATAAACGAACAGGAAACCTGAAGCCAGACTAATAGATTTGAATCCCACTGAGCTCCTTCACTTACTAGGTGTATGACTTTAGAAACCTACTTAGTCTGGCTGTACTTGGGGAGAAAAAAAAAAAGATTCAACGCAAAAACCAACCAACCAAACAAACTTAGATAAATAGATCACTATGATAAATAAGATCACTAAAAAATGCAACACACTGAATGACAAAATTGACAGGCTTGAAGTATGGAAGGACAAAGACTATTTAAAAGAAGAGTCTATAAAATCAGAATCTGAAGAAAGAGGTAAAAAAACTGTTAATCATATCTCAGAAAAAAGGGAGCCAGCACAGTGGCTCATGCCTGTCATCCTAGCTACTTGGGAATCAGAGAGCAGGAGAATAGTGGTGGTTCAAGGCTAACCTGGGCAAAAAGTTAGCAAGAACCCTAAAAGCTGGACATGTCATCCCAGCTACATGGGAAGCATAGATAGGAAGATCCCCGGTCCAGGCCAGCCTGTGCATAAACGTTAAGAACCTGTCAAAAATAACCAAATCAGGCTTGCAGAGTGGCTCAAGTGCCTGCCTCGTCAACCCTTCAGTACGGCCAATAAAATTAAATTAAATTAAAAAAAAATAACCAAAGTAAAAAGGGTAGGGGGCACGGCTCAAGTGGTAGAGCACCTGCTTAGCAAGCACAAGGTCCTGATTTCAAAAAACCCCACTACCACCAAAAAGAAAAGAAAAGAAAAAAAAAAAGCAAAGCAGAAAAGGGTAGAAATCGTTGAAGTTTTATGAAGCATTTCAGACAGAAGTACAACTACTTTGCAGATCAAATAGCCTTATATGAAAAACTCAAAAAAGAAAAACATAGAGAAAAACGAAAAAAAAAAAAACTCAGAGATGGCTCAGACTAAATATAAAAGTGAGTTTCAAAAACATCCCATTAATATTGATCCGTGAAATTGGTTACTGTGGAATTACACAATTACTTATATTGCATCCCTGAGAGAGACATTAATATATTCCCCATCCTGTTGACATGAACTATCCTAGCTACTCAGGAGGCAGAAATCAGGAGAATCGAGGTTCAACACCAGCCAAGGCAAACAGTTCTTGAGACCCTATCTTGAAAATACATAACACAACAAATAACTGGCAGAGTGGCTCAAGTGGTAGAGTGCCTGCCTACCAAGTGTGAGGCCCTGCCTGCCTACCAAGTGTGAGGTCCTGAGTTCAAACCCCAGTACCATTAAAAAAAAAAAAGGTGAACATGGTGGTATATACTTGAAAGGCTGAGGCTACAGAATCACCAGCTCAAGGTCAACCTAGGGAAGGGAAAGAGAGGGGAGGGAAGGAAGGAAGGAAAAAACGACTATCCAAAATGGTGCACACCTGTAATCCCAGCACTCAGAAGGCTGAGGCAGGAGGATTTTGAGTTACAAGACTGTCTCAAAAAACAAAACAAAATTTAAAAATGTGCAAGATATCAATCTCCAAGCTATAGTTATAAAACCTCTCTTCCCCAAAATGCTTGGATTTAAGTATTCAGCAAACCTGCCTCTTACCATTCATTCCTACAGGTATGAAATCTGTGCTTTCTATGGTATTCTTTGAAATTTTTCTTACAGAGAAGACTCACATGTGCTCTTTATGAGAGGTTACAGTGTTGTCCACTCACTTTCATTTGTTTTATTTTTTGGGGGGGGCGTCATTTTTGATGGGACTGGCATTTGAACTCAGGGCTCCATGCTTACAATGCAGGCACTCTACCACTTGAGCCACACCTTCAGTCCATAAATTTCATTCTTAATCGTTCAGAACAGGCAGATTCCATCTAGTACTAGTGACTTACCCATTTCCAGTTCCGCTATAGAGAAATTGTAATTAGATCTAGTTCTATTTATTCCTTGATCTAGTAATGCCGACTTCTAACCAGTTTAAAACGAGTAAATTACTGTCTTCTTTTCTACTGGAAAAACTTTGCCATCATGTTCATTAAGTGACCCTAATTATTTCTTTTCTTTCCCTGGTAGAATCTTTTATTTTGGCTTTAAAGCTTCAGAAAAGGTTCTCCTGGATTACATTCTTGGCCTACCTATTTTTAGTTTGTACTTCATGCCAATAAACAGAAGCAAAATTAAATTTCTTTAAATACACCAGAGACCAGCAGCACATGTAAATTAATCTGATAAAAAACGTTTCCAGGACAAGAGAAAAGCCTCAACTCATAGAGAAAAATCCAGAATTCTTTCCTAAGTAGTTACCCAAGATTGGGTTTATTAAGAAAGATGAAAGCTAAGTAGAGTCCACTTGTATTTCAACAGGAAATAACATGGTTTAAAAACTGAGTACTGTCCAAAAAGAAAAAACTATATTTCTTTAAGGTAGGAAAGAGGACTAGAGTTGTGGTTCAACTCTTGCAATCGAGAAACCATGAGTTCAAATCCCACACCGCCAAAAAAAAAAAAGAAATTAAAAATAAAAAAATAAGGTAGGAAAGAATGTTTGTCAAACTAAGAGGTCTAGAGAAAATCCCACTGATTAGTTTTCAAATTGCTTCAGTGTCCAATGTCAACTTAATTTCAAGCATTTTCTTTTTATGGTACATTTTATATTTTATGTTCTAAATACAAAGCATAAAACAGCTTTACATACAAAAAGAAAATTCCACATTAACTCACTGACATGCAAAAATCTACTTCACCTATGGAATTAATGCAGTAACACTGTTAACCAATTATCAAGAGGTCTAGTTAGTTTTCCAGGAATTAAGTCTCAATCTTAGTTGTATTCTTACTTACCAAAAAAGCACATAGCAGAAAGAAGATACAGAATTAATGCCTGGAAGACTCAGATGAACATGAACTACATTACGTTACTCCTATAAAGACTTTGTCCTTAAATTGTCCTATTAAAAACAGGAAAAGCACAAGAATGACCTCCCCCATCACACAACACGTATAATTAACATGCAAGTACAATTCAGTTACATTCATGAGGCCTTCAAGATTTTGCATGCTTGCAGACTGATGTTAAATATCAACTTCCTGTACCAAAGGAGATTATATTTTTAAAAAAGAGTAAAATCGTCCTTTAAGAGAAATAATTCGCAGATAATTTTTGAAAGATAAAAGTCTTAAACATACAGCTTATAAATATAAGAAGAAACTATTAACAGTTTACGCAAATCAAAGTTAACGGTATTAAACAGAACCAGCGTCAGCAGACAAACCCTGCTGGGAACCAAAGCACCTAAGAAACACTAAGAAACAGCAGTATACCAAAGACTCACTTCCCTTCCATTCATTCCTTTATCCACACATTTACTCTTCCTTAGACTCGGTAGTAACAAGGAACAAGTCACCTCCTTTGGAAAACCAATAAATTTAATTCTTAAGTAAAGGATCATAGGATACAACTTAAAGGACACAGAATTGTTTGTACTTATTGACGACCAACTACTTCATTCGCTTAAATTAGCTCAACAACATGTCCAGAAACAGGATTCACCTCTGAGTTAGCAGAAGAAAACTAACACCCCCTAAAAATCAATACGGAGTGGTAAAGAAACAGGGGCGACTTGACATTCTCTCGTACCACTGCCAAACCAATCCCATTTCTCAGGAACCTAAACACACTGCGACCGCGTCCCTGGAGCGGACAGCACCTCCTGTCAGATGCCAGCCGGGCCGTGCGGCTGTCACCTCTGGTGGGGATGACCCCATCCCGAAAGCACTGCCCGCTGGGGCTCCGCTCCGACTCCGGGAGCCAGGGCACGGAGAGAAGTCTCTTAAGCAAAGGCACTAGGACTCGGGAGTCCTGGGACAGTCCAATAGCCAAGAGGGGCGACCCGGTAGCAGAGACCGCGACATCCCTCGGGGTCTCAGCTCAGGAAGCCAGGACAGCATTCGGGGGAGCCTGGCTCCTATGGCTCCTCTGGCTCCCCCGGCTCACCGTGTCGCACCACAGGCGGCCAGCCACCACGACGGGACCAGGTACCCGGCAGGGGTCCCGCGGAGAGAGAAAAGCGGGCCGGCGGGAGCCCCACAGCCGGAAGGAGTTTACCTCGCAAGCAGGACACCCTCGGACCGAGCTCACCTTCAGGTCGTTCTCCGGCAGGTACTTGCACAGCCGCGCTATCTCCACATACTTGTCCAGATCCAGCGGCGCCATTTTAGAAATAACAAGCCGCGGAGACAGCGGCGGCGGCGGCTATAGTAGCGGAGGCAGCGGCGGAGGCCGAAGCCGGAACTCTCCCTACGACACGTCCGGCCCGTGAGTGACGTTTGCGCAGCGACGTCAAAGCCTGACCTCGCTTCTCCCCGCTGCCTCCGCACGCCTCGCTTCCTCTCCTGCTGAACTGAGGCTGCAGGCCGGTTGGACGGCCCCTCGGTCTGGGCAACGGAACCTGCTGGGACCCGTAGTTTTGGGTACCGCGGGGTGTGCTGGGATTTGTAGTTTTCAGCTGCGGCCGTATACTACCCTCCCACACCACCATCTCCTCCCCTTCCATTTCTCCAGATTCACTAAGGAGTACCGCGAGCTTTCCCGAGGGATAAAGGTGAGGTGGGTAACTGCACGCATTCCCTGGTTTCTCATTCCGACCCTGTGAATCACTCTCAACATCTTCAGTTAAAAATCGGGTAAGCTTCGCTGTAGCAACCCGTTAGCACCTCAACAGGGCCTTGGAAGAACTTGCCTAAACCTGTGGTACAGATACCAGGCTCCTAATCTTCCGCTTGGAAGGAAGGAAAACAAATATAAAAGCATTTCTCATGCAAAATGCTACAAATACTGCCTTCCACCCCCCCCCACCCCTCCCGTTTAAACCTCCTAAGGATTGTTAGGAGTGCAAGGAAACAAACGGTGGAGCCAAGATTGGAAAATAGGCTACTGACTTAAGCATAGTTCTGTATGAGTCCCACGAGGGCTAGGAGTTTTATTTTGTGTTCCCAGTGCCTGGGACCGGGAGCATGACCCAAGTAGAACAGCGCTTGCCTAGCAACACAAGGTCCTGAGTTTAATCCCTAGTGCCTCAAAAAATAAAATAATAATAATAATAATAATAAAAGAACAGTATCTGGCACTTAGTATACCTTTAACATTGGTTCTTTCTACATCTGTTTATTGAGCATCAACTATGTGTCAGGTACAGTTGTAGGCACTTGAGATACGCATTGAACACAATAAAGATCACTGTTTAACTGTATTTTACGTTGTAAAGGAAGACAACGCAAGCAATAAATATAATAAGTGACTTATAGCATATTAACAAGTAATACCAGCTAAGGAAAAAAATGCAGCAGGGTAAGAAAGATGGATAATGCTTTTTTTGGTGGGGAGGGGAGGAGTGGGGTGGGACTGGAGTTTGAACTCAGGGCTTTGCACTTAGCAAAGCAGGTGCTCTATTGCTTGAGCCATACCTCCAGTCCATTTTGCTCTGGTAATTTTGGAGATGGAAGTTTTGGAAACTATTTGCCTGGACTGGCTTCAAACCAAGATCCTCCTGATCTCCTAATCGCTGCCTCCCAAGTAGTTAGGATTACAGGTGTGAGCTACCAGCACCCAGCTGCGGTAATGCATGTTTAAGAATCCTAGCTGCTCAGGAGGCAGAGATCAGGAGGATCACAGTTTGGAGCCAGCCCCACCCCCATCTCAAGACCCTATCTCAAAAAAACCCACCACAAAAAAAGGGCTGGTGGAGTAGCTCAAGCAACAAGAGGCCCGGAGTTCAAAACCCTGTGCCTGCCAAAGAAAAGTCACCAAGGTAGTGGGAAGGTAGTCATGCAGGTACTTGAGGGAAGTTATAGGAAAGAACTGATTCAGAGATGGGAAGATGAAAGCATGTGAAGAGTCTCTACGGAAAAGTAATACTAGCCAGGTTGGAGCAATGGGAAAGAAGTAGGAGAGAAAGCAGAGAGTGCACTGATGATTTTACTTGGAAAGTGATGGACAGCTGTTGCAGGGTTTTAAACAGAGAAGTAAAATGACTGAACTTGTTCTGATGGAATTGCTCCAGCTGATGTATGGAGCTATAAGAGGGAAGTGGTTGCAAATGAGAAATTAGTTGAGACTGTTACATGGTCCAGTAGTAGCAGGTGCTCAATAAATAGCTCTTGTTCAAGTATTGGACTGAATCCTCTTGCTCTAAAGTATATTTTGAAGACAATGGGCTAAATCTTTTTTTTTGGCGGTGGTGGTGCCAGATATCAAACCCATGGTTAGGCAAGCACTGTACCTCTGAGCTATACTCCCAAACCCAATGGGCTAAACTTTAGTGAACCAGGCATGGTGTCACATGCCTGAGGAATCTCAGCACTGGGGAGCCTGAGGCAAGGTATACATAGTGAGATCCTGTCTCTAAAATAACATAAAGTCAAAACTTTAATAAAGTCTCTGGGTGAAGTTTTTTTGTATCATTCTTGCAACTCTTCTGTGAGTATGAAATTGCTTCAGAGTAAAATTAATTTGAAAAAGGTTTTGCAAAATGAATGATGCCCACAGCATTCATTTCTTCATTCATTCAACACATAATTTTATAATGTCAATGGTGTGGATAAAACAGATATAATCCCTACCCTAATGGCAAGGGAGACAAACAATAAATATAGAAATGGGCCCAGACTGGCCTCAAACTCACAATCCTCCTGCCTCAGCTTCCCAGTGCTAAGATTATAGGCATGCACCGTCACACCTGGCTTGAAATTAGCAACTATTTAATTGCAAAGTATGATTAGTACTCAAAAGGGAAAAAAGGAGGTATTATGAGTAAGAAAAATGGAACGGAAAAGGCATATTTTGGCTCATGCCCATAGTCCTAGCTATTTAGGAGGCTGAGATCAGGGGTATTGCAAATTAAAGCCCAGGCAAATAGTTCAAGAGATCCTATCTCCAAAATAACCACAGCAAAATGGACTGGAGGTGTAATCAAGCAGCAGAGTGGCTGCCTTGCAAGTGCAAAACCATGAGTAGTTCAAACCCCAGTCCCACCAAAAAAAAAAAAAAAAAAAAAAAAAGATGGGTGGGGGCCTATTTTAGGTTGGCAAATAGCACAGGTAAAGGAGGTATGCAGAATCTGGTCCCAGACAGCCAGAGTGCAAGTCAAAGCTGTACTGTTTACTGTGGCTCTACCACTTACAGTTACTGTGTAACTTTGGGCAAGTTATTTATCCTTTCTGTACACCAGTTTTCTTATTTCCAGTATGGAGATGATAATAGTCCTAAAAATACTCCCTCATAGGCTTGTACTGGGGTTTAATACCATTGATATGTGAAAATGGCTTAAAATAATGTCTAGCACAGAGTAAACACCATGCAAGTGTTAGCTATGAGATTGGTTGTGTAATAAGGTAACATTTAAGATTTTGGGGGAAAAAAGGACAGAGATAATATGCTCAGGAGTTTCTTGGAGGAAAAAAATTCCAAATGAGGAAAAGGTGCTATTATTATTTGGCTTTCTTTTTATTATAGTCCTCTTCGTGTTTTTTGTTTGTTTGTTTGCTTTTAGTCTGTTTGAAAAGCTGGCAATTAACTTTTCATCTTTGAACCTCAGTAATTAGGAGTAAGTCCTAGTCAAGCTACCTTCTCAGAAGTGGGAAAGAAGACAAATGGGAGATAGATATGGTGTTCTTTGTGACTGTGAAATGAAAGGCAGGTGTCACCAGCATTCATTGCTTTCCTTGTTGATGAGTCAGTGATAGGTGAATCAGTGAGGTGCCCCTCCAATGAAAAGAAGTGGCAGTTCTGGCATTACCCAACTGCCTGGCAGCAAGAAGCTCTCTCCTGTAGCCCCATGTCACTGAGTGAGCCACTCTCCACATCCACAGCAGCGAGAAAGGAAGAAAGCATCCTTCAGAGTGCTAGGCATGTTCCTTGGAAAGAGATAGTCACATCTGATATGGCTTGGTACAAATAAAGTGCACAGAGCTCAATGATAGAAGGTGTTCTTTGTCTTCCTTTCACAGAAAAGGAAGGGCTCCTGGTTCTGCCATTTACATGAGTACACCATTGTAACTTCACTGGGCCTTGACTCCTATTTTAAAACTAAATTTCAGACATTTCTATCAGCATTCCCAAATGTGATTTCTAGTCTAAAAGCATTAGGTTCTACAATGAAAACTGGTTGCTATTGTGTCTACAGACCTCTTCCAGTTTTTCTTGTTAATATGCCACTCCAGCATGGCACCTTCAGGTGCCAAGAGATGCAGGGCATCAGAGCATTCTTCAGCAGTGAGCAGAAATCACTGTCTAGATATGTGTTGAACATATGGCAGAACCAACCTGGCCTTGGTTTTCTTTCCTGAAGGAAGCAGAATGATGGAATACCTCTAACCTCCTCTTTGTCAGACAGTCAGCGGGGATTGTTCCATTAATATGGGAAGTCATGAAGACTCCAGGTGTTGGAAATAGGGTGTTTGAGAAATGAGGAGAGCTATCTACAGCTGTCAAATTCTACTTTGTCCATAAATTTTGGTTATGGTTTTAAGTAACTATATTTACCAAATTGGCCTTCATCTTTATTAACAAGTCCTCTCAACAGTGCTCCCTGCAGGGCAGGTATTATTACTACTTCCAGAGAGGGTAATGACCTTGGCAAAACTGTTTCATGGTTAGTGCAGGAGCCTAGATTGGAACCCAACTATCTCTGACCTTTTCCCACTAAGCTGCCATAGCTCTGTTGTTTCCCGTTTTCCGCCGTTTCCTACAGAGACAAAGACTATTTCGCTAATAGTTCTCTGAACCAGACATAGGTGAGCCACCTCTCTGTTTTAGGAGAGTCATGGGAACCTGTGGTTAGGAAATAGATGACAGGCAGTGCTTATGAACACACATGGTCAGTAATTCACGTCTATCCGTTACAGAGGACCAGCTCAGCACCAGCCAGCCCTTGGTGCTGAGCACACTGTACGTTATCTCATGTATTCCCCTCCACTCCATAACAGAAATCAGAGGAAGAACCCTGAGACCCAGGGAAAAGCAACTTCCCCAAGTACAGATTCTGTCATTGGTAAACTACAAATGGCAGTTATGGAGTGAGTCAGATGCTTAAGGCACCAAATCCTGACTTGGCCTCAAGATTGCACACCGTGGAAAAGCACCCTCAGAAGCCATTTCTAACAACCACTACCACTCAGAATCTGTGAGCTCCTTTCGGTTACACCAGCTTCTTAAGGAACCTGGATCACCCACATGGACGTCCAACCCCGGGCATTTCACTTCTAAGTCATTTTCAAGCGGCTTTGACTTATTTTCACTGCCAGGGAAACGGGGACAGAAGGTGGTCCTCAGTTCCATTTGTGCCCACCTTGCCCACCTTGCCCACCATGCAGAGCCCCTGGAGCCGGGCAGAGGTGTAGGAGCCCAGCAGTTGGTCCCTCCCATGCTTCTGGCATCTAGGGGGAGCCTAGGCCCAGCACTCTAGGAATTTACTCTAGAATCCAGTCTATAAAGACTTTAAAATGGACGATTACATTCAATATGATTCCTATAATGATGGTGACTTAACAGATAACTTTCTGAGTCCTGAGGCAGAAAGAAGTAACTTGGGGGAGTAGAAGTGAAAAGCAAAAAAACAGGGAAGATTTCCTGAAGGAAGGGACATTTGCTCTGGGCTTTGGAGATTGACTAGGAGTTTGCAAGTTTGCAGGAAAGGAAAGGAAAGGACATTCTAGGTAGGGAAAGCAGGGCAGGTTGCTGGTTATGAAAGGGGCTGCAATGTTAGAAGAACAGCAAAAAGCCCAATATTGCAAGAGATTCTGGAGGTGAGTTCCCACAAAAAAAAAAAAAAAAAAAAAAAGATTCAGATCAGAAAGCCAGGCCTTCTTGGCTAATGCTGATTTTCCTTAGAGTTCTGTGTTTCTCAGTTTCTTGGGATATTTTATCTTTTGATAAACAAACACTTTATGTTCTCTGAAATGTAGCTATCTGCCCCTTCCCATGAGAATCACAGATAGATGGAAAGTATTAGCCAAAACCCTTTTGAGGTTGAATTGTGTTAAAGACTGTAGGTGACCCCAGCTTAGAGGGAGAGTGATCACCTAGCATGCATAAAGTCCTAGGTACAGCCCCCTATTCCTTCCGCCACCCTCCGACCCCCACCAAAAATTAAAAAAAAAAAAAACCAGGTACTCTGGAGGCAGAGCCAGGAAGATCATGAGTTTGACGCCAGCCCAGACAAAGTTATCAGGATCCTATCTCAAAAACAAAAATACAAGCAAAATGGCTAAGAGCTTAGTTCAAGTGGTAGAGTGCTTGCCTACTTGCCTAGAATCCAGGAGGCCCCATATTCAGTTCCCAGTACCACAAAAAAGGGGGAAGAAAAAAAAGAATTATATCAAAAGGTTGGTTATCCTTATTCAAATACCAGGGGCCTTAGAAATTGGTACATTCAACAGGAAAAGTTTGGATTTGTTTGTTTGTTTATTTGTTTTGTGGTACTGGGGTTCAAACTCAGGGCCTGTACCTTAAGCCACTCCACCAGTCCTTTTTTTGTGATGGTTTTTTTCAAGATAGGGTCTCTTGAACTATTTGCCTGGGCTGTCTTTAAACCCTGATCCTCCTGATCTCTGCCTCCTGAGTAGCTAGGATTACAGGTGTGAGCCACCAGTGCCCAACTAAACAAGAAAAGCTGCATTTAACTTTTAAATTTTTTCCCGTCTGGTGATAGGGGTCAAACCTAGGGCTTCCTGCATGCTAGGCAAGCTTTCTACCACTGACTGATATCCACAGTCCACTAAGAAAGGTTTGAAAGAGGAAGGTGACCTGATTTGTTTTTTGTTTTAAGAAAAAAGATAATCATAAATGTCCAAAAGTGTCTTTCTTTCTTATGCACAGGACACCATGAAGCAGCTGCCAGTCTTGGAGCCAGGAGACAAGCCTAGGAAAGCAACATGGTCTGTAAGGAAGGATTTGGACATACACACACTCACACACACACAGAGTTCTTGTTTCATTTATAAGTAGTTTACTAACATATTTGATCATCAGCAGAAAAGGGTTGAGATGAAATTGTCTGCAATTCTGGTAATTAGACTCAAACTGTCTAAGAATGTCTTTAGAGGAAAGCTAGGGGAGCAATAATTATCATAGAGCAGATGTTAATTTTATTAAAATCCCTTTATGAAGAAGGGGAAGGCACTGACCATCTGGCATCCTCAGCTCCAATGCTGTGTTCTCCCCTGAGATGTGACTCATTTTTAAGATTTTAGGGAATTGAATTTGGATTAAACAGGCTTCAGTGTTTCATAACTATTTGTTCAACCAACTCTTCACTCAGCAACTAACACTGGTCTGACAGGGTAGCTGCTGTGTAGGCACTGGAGGTCCAAAGGTAAACACTCTTGTGTAGTAAGGGCTGCAGACCAAGCAGGTGATGGTGATGAAATGTGATCAGTGCTGAGGTGGGGCTCACAGAAGGCTGCAGGGAAGGGGCTTGTCTCTTCAGGACATTGAGGAGAGCTTCCATGCATCCATCTTGCTCCGGACCCAACACACATTTGATTATGGCATTCTGTGGGTTAGAGAACTGGAAGTGTAGCTCAGTGATAGAACACCAAGATTCTTTTTTTCTTCAGTACTGGGGTTCGAACTCAGGACCTGGAGCTTGCTAGGCAGGTGCTTACCACTTAAGCCACAGTCTCCGCCCACCCACATTCTTTAACTGTCCCATTAGGCCCTGCATTACCTGTTTCTGCCTGTCTTTCCAACTTCAAATATCTTTACTCATTCTTTCCTCTCTTTCTCTTCCTTTAATGTAGCTGGCATTATCTCATCCAGGAACTAAATATGTTGGCCCCTCTTCCTGGGCCTCTCTTTCCCTCCATCTTTCTTCTCTGTCTTTGCACAGCTAATTTCTACATCTACATCAGATTTCAGTTCAAAATGTTGGTTCTTCAGGAAGCCTTGTCAAAGCACCCTTCCCCACTGCTAAAGTGCGTTCTTGTAGTGTCCACCCTGCACTTTTTTATGCCACAAGCGAAGTGAAATTGTTCATTGTTCCTCATCCCGGCTCTTCTGTGAGGCTGTGAAGGCAGACAATTGGCTGTCTTTTTTGGCCTCTTATGAGACACTTGTGTTCTTGGGTAAGCACTTTAACCTTTTAACTTTTGTAAGCCTCAGTTCCTGAGTTGCAAAACTCAAACGATGACAATAGTACTGATTCTCAATGAGCTTCTGTGCAGATGAAATGAAGCCAGGGTTGTAATGTTGTAAACTGGATGCATGGTACATGGGGTATGTGAATCTGGATGTCATTAGAGATCTGGAACCCACTGGTGAACAGACATGGGTGGTCACCAAAGCCACTAGTACAGATAAAATCAGGACAGTAAGCATAGACTGAGGAAAAGGGAATTCCAAGGATACTGGTCAGAAGGAGGCTGACAGAAAAGGAATCAGGGCAAGAAACAGAAAGGTGAGTAGAAACCCAAAAGGGAGAAGCCAGGTTAGGGGAAAGGTGCAAGAGGGAGGGGTCCAGAGTACCAAACATCATAGAGGCCAAATAAGACAAGTCCTGAGAAACAGCTGGAGAATTTTCTTTTCCAACCAGGAAGCTTGAAATGTGCTTTCTCAGTTAGGGACTTTAGTGCTCAGTAGTAGAGCACTTTCCTAGCAGGCCCAAGGCCCTGACTTCCATCCTTATCTCTCCAAGTGCTTTGGGTCTGTAGACATCCAAGTGAATATGCATACCACTGCCACCATTTACTAAGTCCCACTCTGCAAGACTTGGTCTGAGTCTTCACAACCACCTTTTGAGGTAAGAACTATTTCTATCCTTGTTTCACAAATAAGGAAACTAAAGTTCAGAAAAGTTAAATGACCTCCAAAAGATCACATATCTATAAAGTACCCAAGTCGAGATTTGAACCAGGTCATTCCAGATTCACAGTGTTTATACCAAGTGTGCTATGCCAAGACATAGCAATGAACATTTCTGGATGTCAGTTTACCTTTTGCTAAATGGGGACAGTACTATCCCCATTCATTCCCATCAGATTACTGTGAGAAAGGGTCTAGCACAGTGTCTCCCATCTGTAATCCCAGCTACTTGGGAAGTGGAGATCATAAGGAGCACAGCTTGAGATCAGTCCAGTGAAAAAGCTAGGACCAACCAGCAAGCTGGGCATGGTGGCACACACCTGTGATTCCAGCTAAGTGGGAGGCCATAGGTAGGATCACAACCTAAAGTTAGTCCTGGGCAAAACATGAGACCCTAAAAAGGACTTGGGGCATGGCTCAAGTGGTAGAGCACCTGCCTAGCAAGCATTAGGCCCTGAGTTCAAACCCCAGTGCCACCAAATAAATAAGATTACTACAAGATGAAAGTCGTGACAGAATTGAAAAGCCAAAGGTTATACACAAAGCAGAGGTACTATTATTGATGAGGGAAGTGTTTTGTTGGATATGATTTGGAGTGTCTGTTTGTGTACCAGGACCTTCAGCCTAGGGACTTTCATGAGGGATGGGAAGAATACACTGCTCCATTTGTTCTCTGCTCAGGCCTCCTGAATACATCCTCCCTTTGGCAGGTACACCTTGGCTCCCCCTGGAGACAGCCCCTGCCCTCGAGTTGGCCACAGCTGCTCTTATTTACCCCCAGTTGGTGACGCCAAGAAAGGGAAGGTCTTCATTATCGGGGGAGCAAATCCAAACCAAAGCTTCTCAGATGTGCACACCATGGATCTGGGTAAGAGCACCAGCTGTGGAGTACAGCTGGCTTTGTTCTGCTTGGTTCAGAGCAGAGCATCCTAATTACATCAGCTCCAACCAGAGAGCAAGCTTTCCCTTTATAAAACAAGCATCACATGCCCTGATTTTATATACTTGTATCTTATCCAGAAACATTGTGGTGATTTGAAAATATAAATAAAAATATAATAATAATAAATCACCCACAGGTTCCTAAGTTCTTGTCAGACCTCTGCCACACATCCAATTGACCTCTGACACACATCTGCCCATCTAGTCTCCCTGTCCCCAGGGAAATAGCCCTGGCCATCTGGCCATCCATTCATCAACTGTTTCTCTAGGAGGTTTCAATGACTATACCTCTCCTTCATGCACATATCTAATCAACACCAATCCTAAAGATCTCTTTCCATCCCTGTTTGTCCTTTTCTATACCACCACTGTAACTTGAGCCACTGTTCTCTCTCAGCTAGACTGTTAGAATCATGTCCACAATAGTCTCCCTGCTTCAGTACCTAGCCAGAAAATACTGTCTTAAATACAAATCCAATCACATCACTCCATCTTCAAGCCTTTCCCAAACTTTAGCTCTTCCCAACCCACTTTTGCTTCACTGAATTTCCTTTAACACCTTGAACTCTGCCCTCCAAGTCATTGCACATACTGTTCCCTCTTCTCAGAAGTCTCTTCTCCCTTAACATCTGGCTACAGATCCCAGGTTAAATGTCCCTTCTTTCTAGAAGCTTTCCTTGATAACTCTTGACTAGTGTGGGTACTCTGTATATTTATAGTATCGTATACTCTTCTATCCCTTTCCCCCTTTACAGCCCTTAGCATATGTGATTGTTTCTTGTCATCCCCACAAGAGGATAGGCTCCTTGGAAACAGGTAACCTGGTTATTTTGCTCATCATTGTATCCCCAACCACTACAAAGCACCTAATACAGGACAGGTGCTTTATGAGTATTTGGATGAATGAGTGAATGAACAAACTAAGAACAAGTGACTACTGTATGCTGTATAAAAGGGCGGAAGTTGAAAACCCACATACACATTTGGTTAGCTCCATGTAACATTTTTGTGGTTTTAATATTAAATTGTTTACAAACTAAGCATGCAAAACTCTGCATGAAAAATTTGAAATGGTTTGATAATTTTGGAAGCTCTGACGTCACTAGCCTGTGTGTCTACAATGATTTGGAGCTGGGCTGTCACCTATTGGTAGGGGCTCTTATTCTCCAAGATAGCACCATCCCTGTTAATCCTGTCTAGGCATTTGAATTCCTGTCCTCTGCACTAGGAAATCAAAGGTAAATTGAATCTCTTCCTGCCCTCAAGGAGCCCACTAACTAGTTCAGTTACATCTTTATTGCAACTTATTACTGCTAGCTTTGTGACCATGGCAAAAACATATGGATCTCGGTGTCCTATAAAGTAGAGATGTTAACTTGCATCACTTGGCAGTTGTAATGAGTTATAATGAGCTAATAAGATAATGCCTGTGAAGATCCTATAGTAGTAGTTTATTAACTAATAGGTTAGAAATTGTTATTCTATAAGCCTGTTTTAGCCAGAGATTGTTTTGTTGTACTTAAACCAAAGGAGGGAGGGATGGAGAGAGAAAGAAAGAGAGAGATTTATGAATACAGATATCAGGATGTTTTTGCAGAATTCAAGGGCAAAAAATACAGCCTACCCTCAAGGAAGAGCAAAAGCAATGGATCCAATTGTGCATTTGGGTCAGGTGGCTTCCTCCAGCCCTATCAGCTAATGCTAGAAAGTCAAGGTGTTATACTAATATGTCCTCTGTGATCTGCCTGTGTGGTTGGAGGGAGAGTGGGGAATGGGGACAGTTTCCATAGAAAAGGTTTCATGGATTAGACATACAGCCTAGTGTCTACTATGGAACTTTTTGAATGTTGACAACATTTGTTTTTGGTGACTTTGGTGATTGTTTATTTCTGCTTTTGGCCTTCTCTTCACTGTCCTCCTCAAGTTTATCAATCAAGGTAAGCAGTTGGCAGCCTCAATGTAAGGACCAGGTGAAATGTTTTCTAGGAACACACCAGTGGGACTTAGCCACCTGGGAGGGCCTCCTGCCCCGGTATGAGCATGCCAGCTTCGTTCCCTCTTGCATGCCACACAGCATCTGGGTATTTGGAGGTGCTGACCAATCCGGAAATCGAAACTGTCTACAAGTCCTGAATCCTGGTAAGAAGCCAGAGGCTATTTTATTTTCATTAACTATACATCCACTTATATAACTCCAGCACATTTACATTGTACTGATTAATGCATTTTACTTTGCTGACCTCATAGAAAATAGGAATTTATCCACTCCTTAAATGACAAAACTGGAAGGAACTTCAGAGAACAGCTATGCCAAGTGGGCAACTCAGGTCAATGGAGTGGCTTTCCTAATGCCACCAGAGAGTCAATGAATAAGCCAAGCTGTAACCCAGGTCACCTAGATCAGTGGTTCTCCAGCAAGAGCCGTGACACCCTGCAATGAACACTAGGCCACACCTGGGAACATTTTTGGCTGTCACACCAGGGGTTAAGTTGCTACTGGCATCTAGTGAGAGAAGCCAGAGGCGCTGCTGTGCATCCTGGCTTGCACAAGACAGCCCCACAATAAAGAGGTATTTGGTCTAAGACCTCATCAGGAGGATTGAGGTTCCAGGCCAGATTGAGCAAATAGTTTGCGAGACCCATCTCCAAAATATCCAGAGCAAAATGGACTGGAGGTGTGGCTCAACTGGTAGAATGTCTGCTTTGCAAGCATGAAGCCATGAGTTCAAACCCTAGTCCCACAAAAAAATAAAATAACAAAGTGTTATCTCGTCTAGCTGGGCACAGTGGCTCATGCCTGTAATCCTAGCTACTCAGAAGGCAGGAATTGGGAAGATTGCAGGTGGAGGCCTGCCTGGAAAAAAAGCTCATGAGATCACCATCTCAAACAATAAAAGCTGGGTGTGTGGCACTTGTTTTTGCCTAGCTATGTGGACATGTAAATGGTAGATCGTGATCCAGGCATAAATGTAAGACCCTGTCTTATAAATAACTATTGGGGGCATGGCAGGTGGATTTCAAACCTCAGACCACCAAAAAAAAAAAAAAAAAGAAAAAAAAAAAATATATATATATCTGGTCTACAATATCAATAACACCAAAGTTAAGAAGCTCTGCCAGGGGCTGGCAGAGTGGCTGAAGTGGTAGAGCCCCCGCCTAGCAAGCATAAGGCCCTGAGTTCAAATCCCAGTGCCACCAAAAAAAAAACTCTGGCAGACCCTCTTAGTATGTTTCTTTGAGTCACAAAGGCCAAGTTCCTGACTGGCAGGTTTATCATTGCGGGGTTCACACTTGAGAGGAGACTGCTGAACCTCCTAATGGAAGGTGGACTTGTCTTTTGTTTTAAAACTTTTATTTTTGTTTTTCTCTTTATAAATGTTATCTACACTCATTGTGAAATACCAGGAAAGTGTTAGTAAGTGGTCAAACACCATCCAGGCACAGTTCTATTATATTAAGGCTGTTAGTAACGTCAGTGGTTTCCTTTCAGAGTCTTCAGTTACTGGAGTCAGCTATAGTCCAAAAATGTTAAGTGGAAAGTCCCATACTTGCTTAGTAGCATGTACAAGGTCCTGGATTTGATCTCCGGTATGGAAGGAAGGAAGGGAGGAAGAGAGGAAAGAAGGAGGGAGTAAAGAAAGAAAGATTCCAGAAGTAAATAAATAACCTTTCACTTGTTTTTTCAGTACTGGGGTCAAAGCCATGACTCCTACATGCTAGGCAATTGCTTGACAACTGAACTGCATCCCTCGCCCGACTTTTAAGTCACTTCTATCACAGTATATTGCTGCAGTTGTTATAGTTATCATTGTTGACCATTTCTTACTGTGCCTAGTTTATAAATTAAACGATCACAGGTATGTAAGTACAGGACACACATGGTATATATGTGTGTCAGATAGTATGCATCTGATATGTACGTATATACATATATAGAACAGCCCTGCAGCACGGATCCTGGAACAATGTATCTCTGGCAGAAAAAACACTTTCCAAGTATTTCACAATGAATGTAAATAATATTTGTAAAGAGAAAAATAAAAATAAAAGTTTCAAAACGAAAGACAAGTTCACCTCCCATTAGGTGGTTCGGCAGTCTCCTCTCAAGACTTTCCTTCTTTTCTATTTTTTTCTCTGCATTTTTATAAGCCCATGATCATGCTGTATACATACTTTTATGCCTTTTCCCTTTTAATTTCACAATCACCACAGAAGTGATTTCAAATCAACAACAATGCTTTGTCAACAACATTTTAATGACTACATAATACTCCATTTATGACAATACCACAGTTTCCCTATTTCTGAACACTTAGGATGTTTTCAGCTTTTTACCAGGCACTGGTGGCTCACACCTATAATACTAGCTAGATTGGGAGGATCACAACTGAAGCCCAGCCTGGGCAAATAGTTCAAGAGACTCCAACCCCCAAAAAATAACCAGAGCAGAGTGGTGGAGTGGCTCAAGTGATAGAAGACCTGCCTAGCAAGTATGAGGCCTTGAGTTTAAACCCTAATACTGCCAAAAAAAAGAAGAAGAAAAGAAAATAACCAGAGCAAAATGGACCATTGATATGTGGCTCAAACGGTAGAGTGCCTGCTTTGCAAATGCAAAGCCCTGAGTTCAAACCTCAGTCCTACTAAAATAAATACATAAATAGAAAAATAAGCAGTAACATCTTTGCTCAGAAGTTATTGACTGTATTTCACATGGTTGTTTTTTAGGATTCATGCTCAGAAATAAAAAGAGTAGGTCAAGAACTCTGTGGACTTCTTTTTTGTGACAGGAATTGAACCCAGGGTCTAGTGCATGCTAAGCATGGGCTTTACCACTGAGCTCCGTCCCCAGCCCCAGAATCTTTGTCAGGTTTTTAATACATACCACCAGAAAGTTTTTCAAATTTACTCTCTGTTCTGCTGTGTTTAATAGTGTTTGTGTCATTCCTGTCCAGATTTGAATGTATCAGTTGTAAACATTGCAAATTTGAGAAGCAAAAAAACCCCCTGAAATCTAGTTTGAATATGCAGTTAATCACTAGTGACCTGACATTTTTCATGTCAGTCACCTCTTGCCCAGTCCCCTCTGTCAACAATATATTTTCATGACAGTTAGTTTTAGGAGATGGTACTGAATTTTCGTCTGTGTCAAGTATGGAAAAGTCCTTCATAGTGTTTACATAGTGTCTTCTTATACATTCATTTGCTGTGTTTTTTTGGGTGTCTTTTCTCTTTCTCCCTGCCCCCTCCCTCTGGAATGTAAGTACTTTACAGGCAAGGGTTCGTTCATTGCTGAATTTCCACAATCCAGAACACGGTCTGAAGTACAGTAGACCGACTGGCCGATAATGAAGCTAGTTTGCGTGGGGCAGTAGCTTAGAGGATGGTATGTGTGAGTCTCTTGGTTCTCTCCCAAGCTCTTAAAACAAAACAAAACAAAAAAACAGCACAAGTCAGGTTCTGTGCTTTACTGTGCATGAACCATGTCCTTACTAACTATGACCTTGAGCAAACTCTCTGCCTCGGTTTTCTTTTCTGTCACAGTGGGATGGTGATAGTTCCTTCCTTGTTAATTTATTACAGATTTTAATTAGCTCAGTATCTGGCATATAGTTAACCCTCAGTGTTTGTAGTTGTTCTAATTGATCCAGGTATGATTTGGAAAATAGAAGTCAGTTTGGAAACCCGTACTTTTTTTGGTTTTGTTTGTTTTTGTTTTATTTTTACATGCGGGAACATGCTGAAACAGTGACTTCCTTGATAGTTTTCATATGCACATATCATCTATATTATAATTATATATATAATTTTTTATGGGACCGGAATTTAAACTCAGGGCTCCACACTTGCAAAGCAGGCACTCTACCACTTGAGCCAAACCTCCAATTGTTTGAGTTTGAAGTCAGGGCCTTGCTATGTAGCCCTTGCTGACCTGGAGCTTAGTATGTAGTCCAAGCTAAGCCTTGAACTCAAGATCTTCTTCCTTCAGCCTCCTGAGTTCTGGGATTACATGTACAGACCACCATGCCCAGCTGGAACCCTATCCTTTTGATTCTCAATGATGGCATCTATTTAAATAAAACTTGTGAGACTGTGGAAAGCTTCCATCAAAAGAATTGGTTTTCTAACCATATCCCTTCTCTCTCCTGGGATGTATAATCTGATACCATGCCCCAAAAATACAAAAAAATGTGCAAATCTCTCAAATGGCTTTGGACTCCTTTGTGATTATTTTTTGCTGGTGTTTGACTTATGTGCCGTCTAAGTCCTAAAATCCAAGAGCAGTCCCAAGATCTGTAGCTTTGGATATAGGCCTGAGACTGGTTCAATTTCAAGGTTCATGTTTGAGTTGCACATGTTCTGTAGATGTTTCATGAAGCATTGGCTACTGAATGCAGGCCTTTTACAAATGGTGCATTTTCTCAAGCAGCAAATAGTACTTGCTGCTCAAGTAGTAGAGCTCCTGCCTAGCAAGTACAAGGTCCTGAGTTCAAGCTCTAGTACCCTTAAAAAGAGAGGGAGGGAGGGAAAAAGGAAGGAAGGAGAGAGAAAGAAAAGAGAACGAGTGTTCTGGTACAGCAAGTATGCTACTCTGACAGCTCCAAGTTCAACCCCTGCTTACAGGGCCTGTGACAGGGCAGGATTTAAAGTTTCTGAGCTTCCATTGTGAAGATATTTTCCACCACCTCCCAGGGGTGAGTGAGGCTGTGACAGAGCACTTGGGACAATGATCCTGCATGAGGAAGGTGCTCAATTAATGCATCTGTTGCTATAAAATTCATGTTTTATTCAGAAAGGAAAGAGACTTCTATTACAGCTCCTAGGTGATGAGTTTTTATCCTCATGTCAGAAGAGCTGAAAATACGTATATCTTGGTGTTTCTGGGACAGTTTAAATCTCAACCATTTGCTGTCTGTGTTTCCTTAAATAAATGACTGTCTATCTCGGCTTCAATTCCCTTATCTGAAAAGGGATAAACTAATATTTATTTAGCACTTATTATTTAGTAGAGACTAGTGTTAGTGCTACTGAAACTGCAATAGCATTATTTTCTCTTAATAGCTACATTTTCTGGGAAATTTGGCATATTTGGGTTTTGGCATTTAGTGGGAATGAATTTTAGCAAGTGTTAGGCTCTCCTTTATGAGCACGGGGCAGGGAAGTCACCAAAGTGAAAGAGGGTCTAGAGAGGTTATTGACCTCATTCTTAATTGTACCTGTGGCTTTCAATCTTGGGGATTTGGTTCCATCTGGACAAACTGTACATATCATTCTTATTCCTCCCTAACATTGGTAAGTGTGAACTCCTTACCTAAAACTGTGCTGTCCTCCTTGGGGATTTGGGTAGGAAGGTGTCTCTGCCAAGCCCCACCAAGTATCAAGGTCAGAGCCAGGCATGATGGCACACCTCCATAATCCCAGCACTCAGGGGGTCTCAGGTAGGAGAATTTGAAGTTTGAGGCCAGCCTGGGCTACATATTGAAAGACTATCTCAAAAAAAAGTGTCAAGGTCAGAGACCCTGCAACCTGGATGTTTTAAGTGCCTGCCTTCTCACTGAACCAGAAACCAGGACTTGGACCACTCCAGAAGTCACCTGTCCCGCACCATCCCCAAGAACCTTCCACACGTCTTCGGCAGCCATTGGAAACCAACTCTATGTTTTTGGCGGTGGAGAGAGGGGCACACAGCCTGTGCAGGATGTGAAGCTGCATGTGTTTGACGCAAGTATGGACTGATGGGGACCTTGGGCTGCCACTTACTGCTCAGGGCCACCTCAGCTCACAGCTTCCCTCATGTAGGAAGCAGAGGTTAGAAAAAGAAACAGGCTGAGTGTCTCACTTTATGACTTCTTAGAGGATACATTCTTCCTGCAGCAGCATTTGCATTTGAAAAGTTATAAGCGATGGATTTTGAGACTTTAAACAGTACAGTTTATACAAAAAAGAGTAGAAGTTTCCCTTCAGCCTTACTTCCTACTCCCCAGAGAGAGAAATACTATTGGTGTTCCTAATGTCTCCTTCCAGACTTTTCTATGCATTTATAAATCACACATACATACGTATATGTACATACATGAGTTTATGTGAAATTAGAACTCACAAAGCTATATCAAAACTTTAAAACACATACATGGAATCAAGTTATAAAACTAAAACCATATAAGAGCCGAGTGTTGTGGAGTGGAGTGTGTGTATTCCTAGCTCCTCAGAAGGCGGAGGCAGGAGGATTGTTTGAGCCCATGAGTTGAAGCCCACCCTTGGAAACATTAAAAAAAAAAAAAAAATCCAAAACCACATACATAGAATCAAATTATACATACTGTTCTGCAACTTGCTTTCAGAGAGTAGGGGTCTTAGTTGTTGAAAGCCATGTCATTTGGACTCAGGATCAGATCTGACATTTTCTGTGTTACTTAAGGCTAGTTATTTAATCTCTCTAAGCGTCAGTTTGTTTATTTGTAAAATAGAGAAAATGGTAATGTTTACCACAAAGAGTTGCAAAGACTAAATGAACTGATGTGACATAGTTCATAGCATAGTACCTGGCATGTAGGAAGCACCTAATAAACACTCACTGTGTTATTACTGTCTTTATTTAATCATGAATCATGGAGGTCGTTCTAAGTCAGCACCAATTGCCTTGTGAACCCTGTCCTTCTGAGGGTACTCTTTATCTGTTCAGTCACTTCCCTGCTGACTGGCTTTTTGCTGACATATAGATTAATCTTTATATGTGTTACAAACATTTATAAGGAATAGATGCTGAAAAGTGAAATAACTATCATAATAAAATGAAAATTTTAAATTGTGAGATCACAAAAATAAAATAAAATAGTGAGATCTTTTGCCAAATTGTTACCTAAGGGACATTTACTTAACATTTTTTTCTCCTACTAGTGGGCATTTATAAATAACACTTTGCAAATAACATGTGATAAAAATACTATTTACATTTGCCTTTTTTTTTATTAAACACAATATGCAAACTTTCAAATACTCAAAGTAAAACTGGAAGAATTAAGACACATCACAATAGGACTTTGCTCTTCCAAAAAGAATGGGCTTTTTGATTTTTTTAAAAGCTGTTTTGAAATCAGTGATAGGGCAGAATGGGACCTGCCTGGAACTGAGGTGGGGGGAGAGGGGGAAGGGTGAGGGAGGGGAGCAGTGTGGAGAAATGACCCAAACAATGTATGCACATGTGAATAAATGAACAACAACAAAAAAAAACCCACAGAGGGCAGACAAAGTGTGGGAAAAAAATAAGAACCAAAATAAGAGCAACAAATAGGAAATAGCACCAAATATAGTAGATATTAATCCTGCTTTATTAATAATCACTTCAAATGTCAATGGTTAAAAGATTGTCACAAAGATTAATAAAGTGAACCAAAAATAAGATCCAAAAAAAAAAGTGCTAAGTAAAAAAAAACAGTTTTGAAATTTTTAAATAATATGAGGTCAGGCATGATGGCTCAGCTGTAATCCCAAGCTACCTGGGAGGTAGAGATGGGAGTAGCTCGATTTGAGGCTAGCCTAGGCAAAAAAAGTTATCCAGACCCTATCTCCACAAGTCAACTAAGTATGGAGGCTGAGGTAGTTGGATGCGATCTGAGGCCTGCCCTGGCTGGGCAAAAGCACAAGACCCTGCCCAAAAATAACAAACAAAAGGGCTAGCTGGGCGCCGGTGGCCCACGCCTGTAATCCTAGCTACTCAGAAGGCAGAGATCAGGAGGATCACAGTTTGAAGCCAGCGCAGGCAAATAGTTCACGAGACCCTATCTCGAAAAACTCTTATCACACAAAAAAATGGGCTGATGGAGTGGCTCAGGGTGAAGACCCTGAGTTCAAGCCCCGGTACCACAAAAAAAAAAAAAAAGGGCTGAGGGCATTGCTGAAGTAGTAGAGAGTAGAGTACTTGCCTAGCTAGCATAAGACGCTGAGTAAAAACCTGCAAAGTTTATGTATTTTATATATACATAAATAATACAGGCTTTAAAAAATGAAACTAGATAGAAGGAAAAAGTATGTGTATTTCAATACTTTCACCCACAAACTACTCTTAACATCTTAGTGCATTATCAGCCTTTTTTTTCTAAGCAGCACAGATAATTCTATATGAAATTGTGTATTTCACGTAAGCATTTCCCCATGCACTCAGAAAGTCTTCACCAGCGGTTTTCAGGAATTCATTGTATTCCATCACAGCTACACCAATAGCTGAGCCGCTTACCTGTTAATGGCTAGGCTGTTTCCAATTCCTTTCTGTTACAAACAGTTCTTTGATGAGCATATTTGTGCAAAACATTTTCAGGTTTGCCTGTTTGTTTTGAGACATACATAGTCTTACTTTATAGCTGAGGCTGGCCTCGAACTCATGATCCTCCTGCCTCAAGCTCCCCAGTGCTGGGATGATAGGCATGCACTACTGAACCCAGGCAGATTATTTAACTTGTCTTCGTTGAAGCACTCCTTGAACAACCAAAATGCATGCTGTGAATGGTCATTCTTTTTTTTTTTTTTTAATAGGGTCTCTCTATGTAGTCTAGGTTGGCCTGAAACTCATTATGTAACTAACCCCAGCTGGCCTTGAATTTGCAATCCTCCCGCCTCAGTTTCCTGAGTGCTGGAATTATGGAAAGGCCAACACCACACCCTGCTCTCATAAATTGTAATTCAAAGATGAATTGTTTGGTAGATCTTTGTCTCAAAGTTTTTTCAAGACTCTTCTGGTATGTTGAAATGGTTAATTTTCCAGAACACTGTAAACACGCAGTTTTGAAGATAGGAAGGATGCCTATAGTAGAGTGCACCCATACTGGCAGTGGGTAATAACCATTTCATAACTCCTGCATACTGACCACTTTCACTGTGCTTACCCTTTCTGTACACTATCTCATCTAATCTATACCTCAACCTTGAGAGGTATTGTCAGGTATTATGGGGCATGAACTCCATTCTACACCTGCAGAAATTGAAGTTTAGAGAAGTAACTGGCACAACGCCACACAGTTATTTAGTGAGATGACCTGGTTTTAATGCTAAATGCCATGCTCTAACCATTATCCTATACTGCCACACCAGGAGACTTTGCTTTTATTTGAAAGTAGTCTGTTTACTCCTCCACCTGTTCAGCACATCAGTTAAGGAGATGGTCTTGAAAAAAGATTCTGGGCTGGGGATGCAGCTCAGTGGCTGAGTGTCTGCTTAGCATGCAACAGCCCTTCAATCCCAGGCATTTTTCCCCACCCCTGCAAAAAAAAAGAAATAAAGACTCTGAAGTCCTGTCATAAAAGAAACACACTCATTCATTTTAACTTTAGGGCAGTGCTAGGTTGAAGTTTAAGGGGAGATCTTTTTCTATTCAAAACAAGAAATGGCTTCCTTATGCCCAAGTAAAGGCGCAACTCTCCCACTCAGGAAGTGTGGGAACAGAAGCCAGGCTGTAAAGGAAGGGAGCTCTGCTCTGTTGTGAGTTGGAGTGAAGGAATCCAAGGTCACTTCCTGCTGAAGCAACTCTGCTTGCTAAGAGGCAATAAAGAGGCTTGGGTGTATTTCTCTTGTTCTTCTTTCGTAGCTTTGCCACTTGATGTCAATGACTTTACTTACTTTTGTAGCCACTCTGACCTGGTCCCAGCCAGAGACACTTGGAAATCCTCCATCTCCCCGGCATGGTCATGTGATGGTGGCAGCGGGGACACAGCTTTTCATTCACGGAGGCTTGGCGGGGGACACATTCTTTGATGATCTCCATTGCATTGATATAAGTAAGGAGGGTAGAGGGTGTGGGGACTTGTGTGCTTCACTTTTTTTTTTAATACGCTTTGAAAGAATACAACTTTGCTTTGAAGTGTGACCAGCTGGCAGTGTTCACTGGATTCTGTGAAATGTGGTACGAATGGTAATAGGTAGCAGTAACAATAGATGCAGTCATTCGCAGGCACTTAGCGCGTGCTTGGGCCTTTATCATCTCTTATCTTTGCAACTCCATCATTGTGATTGATTATGCTTTGTGTCCTGACTGGAGTTTCCTTTCAAACCTTAGCCATTCTCCTATGTAAGGTTTGGATAATGTCTAGGGTGTGTCTTGAGGTGGGTGACCGGAGCTGCATGATTGGCAGGCTTTATAAATGGTTGAAAAGCTAAGGAAGAGGAAAGGTAGAGAGAACATGAGAGATGTATTTCAGTACCTAAAGGGCTGAGGAGTCCTGAAGGCATGGACTCTTTCTGGGTTATTCCTCCACGTTGCGAGCTTCCTTAGGGCAGGAACTTCCTCTGTTTGCCAGTGTATTTCTGGCACTTAGCACAGTGTCTGGCAGATAGTGGGTGGAGCACATATATGTTCATGTGTGGGTGGATAAATAAATGAACAGTTTCTGCATTGCTCCAGGCCACAAGAAATGCAGAAGGCCTGGAAACTCCTGTGCAGAGTAGTTGAGTACTTTACAAAGTACTGGGTTCTCTGAAGCCAGGGGACGCTGGTTGGGATTCTTGCATTGATTAGAATTTTGGCCAGACTGAGTGATTCCCCTGGCTTGCCTTGAATTGCTAGGCCATGCCTTGCATTCACAGATAGAAACTATATTCACAAAAGCATTCCTAATAGGCGGGTCAAATGGCGTTTTCTTTTTCTTGTCTTACTTTCTTTGTGTGTGTATGTAGGGGAGGAAGGTTACTGAGGTTTGAACTTAGGGCCTCACTACACAAAGACTCTACTGCTTGAGCCATGCCTCCAGCTCTTTTTTCTTTCTTTCTTTCTTTCTTTCTAAGACAGGGTCTTGCTATGTAACCCGGTCTGGCCTCAAACTCACAATCCTTTGGCTCATACTCTTGAGTACTGAGATTACAGGCATGAACCACCACACCCAGCTTTGAATGGGATTTTTGTGCTTACTTTTAAAAATAAAGACCTCTTTTTAGTGTGCTAAGGAACACACAGAAAAAAATTGCCTATCCAGTTGTTCTCTAAACCTAAAATCCAGTGACACTCTACCTCATTTCAATGTTTGTTTGAAAAAATACAAATATCCCTGCAAAAATAAGTTGGAACTAGGTGCTGAGGCAGCAAGTTGCAGTAAAGAAAACACAGACTTTGGAACCAGATTTAATATATGTCTAGCTCTGCCACTTACAATTGTGGGGTCTCTGACAAGTCAGGTCTCTCTCCTCTAATCTGTATGCTTGTCTGCAAGAAGAAAGAGGGTAGCTGAAGTAATAGCAATTCAGAGGTCTGATAAGAGAATTAAGTGAACAACACCAGGTACCAGAGCTCATGCCTGTAATCCTAGCTACTCAGGAGGCAGCGATCAGGAAACCCATGGTTCAAAGCCAGTCTGAGCAAATAGTTCACAAGACACTATCTCAAAAAATACCCAACCCAAAAAGGGCTAGCAGTGTCTCAAGTGGTAGAGCACCTGCCTAGCAAGCATAAGCCCCTGAGTTCAAATCCCCCCAAAAATTAAGATTTTGAAATTGTGTAGCCAGAACTCCCAAAGTTTCTTCCTAAAGACCTGTATTTAAAACATACACATATGTATGTGTGCCTGTGTGTGCGTACACACACACTTCAAACCTTACTACTTTCTGGAAAGATAACCTAGAAGTTAAAGGTGACCGTCACTATAAAATGTATCACATTTGTCAGTGTGCTACAAAGACCAACTGCATCAGAATCCCCTGGGATGCTTGTTAAAACTGCATTATCAGGGCTGGAATGTAGCTTGGTGGTACAGCACTTGCCTAGCATGCGTGAGGCCCTGGGTTCGATCCCAGCACCAAAAAAAGAAAACACAAAAAAAAAAAACCTCTACCCCTAAAACTGTGTATCAAACCAGGCACCAGTGGCTTGTGCCTGTAATCCTAGCTAACTCAGGAAGCAGAGATCATGGTTCGAAGCCAGCTGAGGCAAGACCATATCTTGAAAAAACCCATCACAAAAAATCGCTGGTGGAGTGGCTCAAGGTGTTCAAGGTGTACACCCTGAGATCAAGCCCCAGTACCACCAAAAAAAAAAAAAAAAACCCACTGCAGATCACTGAGCCCTGCCCCTCCCTCCCCGAACTATTGATCAGAATTTCAAGCACATTAAATTTTGCTCTATTACCTCTCAGGGCTCCCAGTGAATGACCTCCAGTGATTGGTTTGCAAACTGCCATAGAGTTTGAAACCACATTTTAGCCCATACTGTGCCAAAACTCTTTCTCTGGGCAGGTGACATGAAGTGGCAGAAGCTCAATCCTACAGGAGCTGCTCCAGCAGGCTGTGCCGCCCACTCAGCTGTGGCTGTGGGAAAACACATATATATCTTCGGAGGAATGACTCCTACTGGAGCGCTGGATGTAATGTACCAGTATCACACAGGTGAGCAGGTGTCACTCCTGGTCTAAACAAATGTAAAAGTGCTTTAGTTTCTCAATTTGGTACCTCTATGTCTAAATCTAAAGGAAAGGAATAAAAATTAAACTTTTAGGGAGTGACATTAAAGCACTAACACTGACATTAGTTTTTTCCCCTTTTATTTACTGTTTGTTGTGGCTCAGTTGATGCAGTAAATCACTGAGCATTCCCGGAAATTTCCAACACAAGCCTTTGTTCTTTTCCCCTAACATAGAAAAGCAGCATTGGACCTTGCTTAAATTTGATACTTTGCTACCTCCTGGACGATTGGACCATTCCATGTGTATCATTCCATGGCCAGTGACATCTGCCTCTGAGAATGAAGACTCAAATTCTGTCACTCTTAACTGTGAAGCTGAGAGAGGGGATTCTGCTGACAAAGAAGTAACCAAAGGTGGTGACTCACAGAAGAGTCATACTGACACACTGCTCTGTTTTGTGTTTGGTGGAATGAATACCGAAGGGGAAATCTATGATGATTGTATTGTGACTGTAGTTGACTAATAAAACCCAAACTTTTATTACTTATTTTCACAAAAGTAAAACTTCAGCTTTTCTATACCCCCAAAGTATTTCCTGCACAATATGTACTTACTCTTACCTACTTTGGTAGGTGAAGAGATAGCCCAGTGCAAAAAAAAGAGTAGACAACATGTAAGCTGCAGGCATCAGACATTTACCAGTTCAAATCTTTTATATTATATTCACTAGCTTACTTTCAGAAAGATGGCCTATTGGTAAGCACTACTGATAGCCTTTGGAGACAGGAATGAAGATTGACTTTTTTTTTTTTTTTTTGGTGGGACTGGGGTTTAAACTCAGAGCTCACTCCTTGCAAAGCATGCACTCAAAAACTTGAAACATGCCTCCAAAAGTTTGCTGCTAACTACTTTCTATCCCTGATGTTCCAGAGCACATAGCAATACAAGGTCACTTAACATTTGGTTGGGCTTCACCTGCTGACCTATACATTACACTTTTAAAGCAGTCCAGCAAAGGGCTGAGCTTCAGAGTGATGAGATTGGTATCAGGTCCTTTAAACCTGCCATCCTTAGTAAATGAACCTTTCAGCCACTTGCCTATCTACATTCCTTAGGTTAGGCAATATTGGATTTCAGATTTGTACCAGCCAATAAAGATTTTTTTTGGCAGTACTGAGGTTTGAACTCAGGGTATCTATCATGTTTGCCAGGCAGGTGCTCTACCACTCAAGCCACTCCACAAGCCCTGTTTTTTTTATTGGGTATTTGAGATAGGGTTTCTATTTGCCCAAGCAAGCCTCAAACCCTGATCATCCTAAGTAGCTAGGATTATAGGTATGAGCCACCTGTACCTGACCACATCTTTAGTCAAGACTTTTATTGATCATACTGACTACTCACCTAGACCAGCCCTCTCCTCAGGAAGCCAATCTTTATAATCCTCAATCTATCCACCCAAACCACTGCCTGGTTCACAAGTAGGAGGCTTTAGTTTCAAGGTCACCATCTAGATCCCACCACAGTACTTTCTGAAATTTTAGGGATGGAGATTTTGATCCAGATAAGGTTCAAAATATACATCTTAAGTTTCTAAGTTGAATCCAGCTCAATTAGAGTATGGGGTCCTGGGTTTGATTCTGTACCACATTAAAAACAAATAAACCCACCAGGAAAGGCACTTTTAGAAATGGGAAGAAAGAAATTTCAATTACGTCAAGAAAACCCTACCCACCCTTGGGAACTGTGAAATAGCTCTTGCCTAGGTAAGGATACAATGAGCCTCCCTCCACCTTTTCTTAAAGTTAGACAAATTCTCTGAAAGTACTAATTACCCCAACATCCCAAACAACCCCCACACATTTAGTTCAGCATTAAATTTTACTTGTCTTCCTAAAATAAATTACTGCTCTAATTAGAAGCTTTTCACAAATAGACCAGCGTAAATAATAAACATTTATTGGTGTCACTTATGGTAGAAAAAAGTTCCTACACCAGATGTGCATGACCCAATTGTTAAATAGAACATTTCTGAGGTGAACACACACCCTGACCCAACTTTTTTACCCTGTTTTTAAGATAGCCAATTCCTCTTTCCCCCCCACCCCAAGACGTGAGCAACTGCTAATGAAAAGCAGTAAACAGCCACTTGGGCTATAGCATTTTCAACTCCACTCTGAGGTGAAGATTCCAATTACATTCGAGACTTAAGTTCTCTCAATTTTCTCCTAACGAAAGTTCCTGAGTCCAGTATTTACAATATTACAGCTCTAGCAGATCAGTGTCTACAATTCATCTTTTTCTGCTGTATCTTCTTCACCAGTTGGGGGAGGGCCTGCACTTCCATAGAGTTTGCTGATAATTGGCTGAACAATTTCTTCTAGTTCCTTCTTTTTAGCTTTGAAGTCTTCAATGTCAGCATCTTGGTGGCTTTCTAGCCATTCAATCTTTTCCTCTACAGCCTTTTCCATGGTCTCCTTATCTTCAGAGGAGAGCTTACCTCCCAGCTTTTCTTTGTCTCCAATCTGGTTCTTTAGAGAATAAGCATAGCTTTCCAGCTCATTCCTCGTGTCAATGCGCTCCTTGAGCTTCTTGTCTTCCTCAGCAAACTTCTCAGCGTCGTTAACCATCCTTTCAATTTCTTCAGGTGTCAGGCGGTTTTGGTCATTGGTAATTGTGATCTTATTTTTGTTCCCTGTACCCTTGTCCTCAGCTGTCACCCGAAGAATGCCATTCACATCTATCTCAAAGGTGACTTCAATCTGGGGCACCCCGCGGGGAGCAGGAGGAATTCCAGTCAGATCAAAAGTACCCAGAAGGTGATTGTCTTTTGTCAGAGGCCGTTCACCTAGAAGTTACACACAGAAAAACTGGTTACTGACAAGCATTAGTACATCTGGATTCCTACATTTCAGGCTATTAAGACCCTATAGTGGGACAAGGGCACTTTATCAAGTTAACTCACTCAGTATTGGTTTACATGGATCAGTAATGGGGTTATATTATTACTCACTCTTAATTGAATTTCATCTTCTGTAAAAGCACTGTGTACCCTTTTCTTGTTCTTACATTCTAAGAACTGAATAGCCGTTAAGTACTGACTCTAAAACTCAATACTAGTCGAATAAAGGACTCAAAAATATGAAAGGCAGAAGCTAATTCTTCCCCTACTTTTATTAACCCAGAAGTCATGTTCTTTTAAAATATATGACATTAATAAATGTAAGTAATTACCTTCATAAACCTTGATTGTAACAGTTGGCTGATTATCAGAAGCTGTAGAAAAGATCTGAGACTTCTTGGTGGGTACCACCGTGTTCCTTGGAATCAGTTTGGTCATGACACCTCCCACAGTTTCAATACCAAGAGTAAGAGGACACACATCAAGCAGCACCAGATCACCTGCAAAAATAAATTAATCAAGCTCTGACTCAAGTCCTAAGAGCACTGCCAAGCCATCTCTCCACAAAGTAAGGTTATGTTCTCAATTTTGCCATTTGGTTAGGTTCTAAGCACAACGTTTTAAGGAAAATGAACTAAACAGTTGCTAAGAATCTTAAGACTGCCCCGGTCTTGTCTTCACTGTATTTTTATTCCCTGTTGCTCACATTCTAGGTCCTCCCATCAATGTACTGAAGCATTGTGAAAGATGCTGTGACAGTAATCTACCTGTATCTTGATCACCAGAGAGGACACCAGCCTGAACAGCAGCACCGTATGCTACAGCCTCATCTGGGTTTATGCCACGGGATGGCTCCTTGCCATTGAAGAACTCCTTCACCAGTTGTTGAATCTTTGGAATTCGAGTAGAACCACCAACAAGAACAATTTCATCAATATCAGACTTCTTCAAATCAGAATCCTCCAACACTTTCTGGACAGGCTTCATGGTAGACCGGAATAGGTCCTAGAATGTAAGACACTATTATTCATATGCCTGTTATACCTACATACTGAACTGAGGTGTCCTAAATTCTAGACTCTTAACTAGATCTCATCAGCAAAGCAAAAAACAAGGAACATACCATGTTTAGTTCTTCAAATTTGGCCCGAGTCAGGGTCTCAGAAAAGTCTTCTCCTTCAAAGAAGGACTCAATTTCAATTCTTGCTTGATGTTGAGAAGACAGGGCTCGTTTGGCCTTTTCTACCTCACGCCGGAGTTTCTGCACAGCTCTGTTGTCTTTCCTAACATCTTTGCCAGTCTTCTTTTTGTACAGCTTTATGAAGTGTTCCATAACACGCTGGTCAAAGTCTTCTCCACCCAGATGAGTATCTCCATTAGTGGCCACAACTTCGAAGACACCATTATCAATGGTAAGAAGAGACACATCGAAGGTTCCACCACCCAGATCAAACACCAGGATGTTCTTCTCCCCTTCCCTCTTATCCAGGCCATAAGCAATAGCGGCTGCTGTACTGTTAGAATATAAAAGAGGGGAAAAAGCTTAGTCAAGTTCACTTTCCCCTAGTTGGCAAAAATGCTCTATGTTTGAAATCACACTTACGGCTCATTGATGATCCTCATAACATTCAGTCCTGCAATTGTTCCAGCATCTTTGGTTGCTTGCCTTTGGGCATCATTAAAATAGGCTGGTACTGTAACAACTGCATGCGTAACCTAAAAGGATAGCGAAAGGTAGTCTAGTGTGTTTTGTTACATGGTTTAACCACTACTTAAACAAGTAGAACCACCACTTTAGTATCTCAGCCAGCTTACTGTTGTTAAGAGTTTAATTTTATAGCCACAAAAGTCACAAATATTAAGTAGTAACATATAAACCACGTAGGCATCCATATTCAACAAAGAACAGTAATCATGACCTTTAAGAAACACTTAGTATTCTAGAAACATTTACCTTCTTTCCCAAATAAGCCTCAGCAGTTTCCTTCATTTTAGTGAGAACCATGGCAGAAATTTCCTCTGGAGCAAATGTCTTGGTTTGCCCACCTCCAATATCAACTTGAATGTATGGTTTAGTTTTCTTTTCAACCACCTATTGTAGAGAATGATTTAATAATTTCAGACACTGAAGCAATGAATGACACCTAAAACTTTAAAGACCTATCTCCTCCCTCATAGTTTATAGATTAATTTTAAGCCTTTGGGGCTGAATAGTGACTAAAAATATTTAAGGAGTATAGGTGTCATACACAGATTTCTCCAGTTTCAGTCTGTTTTAAATCTTAAAAATTACAAATGACAGCCTTTGCTTGGCAATTACGCGATCTTATACTGTGTAACACAGTATAATTATTAAATACAAAGTTACTACACAGTGTGTCTGTTGTGGCGGTACCGGGGTTCGAACCCAGGGCCTCGCGCGTGCCACACCACATGCCATTATCCTTTTTTGCCGTCTGATGGTTGTTTTTCAGTCACTTCTCAACCCTAAATCCAACCCCCCCCACCCCCCCGGCCGGATGGGAAGCTCGGGCGGGACCTTGAATGGCAGGAACTTGATGTCCTGCTGCACCGAGGGGTCGTTCCAAGTGCGTCCGATGAGCCGCTTGGCGTCGAAGACCGTGTTCTCGGGGTTGGAGGTGAGCTGGTTCTTGGCCGCGTCGCCGATCAGGCGCTCCCCTTCGGGGGTGAAGGCCACGTAGGACGGCGTGATGCGGTTGCCCTGGTCGTTAGCTATGATCTCCACGCGGCCGTTCTTGAACACCCCGACGCTGGCGGAAAAACCCAACAGCAGA